CCCCCCCACCCCCTGTATTTCGTTTTTCTGTGAACTAACCTCTGTATGGTCTCACCTCATTTGTGTGTACATGACTGACACATTTGGCTCAAGACTGAGAAAAGCCGTTTGCTTTCACTGCGCGACTGCATTCGACTCGTGTCCAAGCATTGTCCGTTGGCCCTCTAGAGACCGTGTCCTTTCCAAGGGAAATCCACTGCATTGCGCTTCATGTCACCCCCCACCCCACCCAACACTGCTCCTACCCTCCACTCTGTTCAGCCATATGCTGTTGATACAAATTCATTCATATATGAATGAATGAATGTAAGATCCCTTTGCATCCACATGGAACGTTATTATCTTGGCCATGGTTCCCCCCCACCCCCCCCACCCCACACTCCTCCTGCCGTCCACCACAAACTCTTACTTGAGTGAATGTAAAAGCCCTTTGCACCCACATGGAACGCTATTATCTTGGCAATGGTTCCTGCCCCCCACCACCCCAATTCCAACCATCGTCTGGCTTAGTTTCTGAACAGTCTAACTTGGTTTCTGAATCGACTGTTTTGGTTTCTGAATCGGCCGTTTTGGTTTCTGAATCGGCTGTTTTGGTTTCTGAATCGGCTCTTTTGGTTGCTGAGTCGGCTCTTTTGGTTTCTGAATCGTAGTTGGTGAATCGCCTGGTTTGGTTTCTGAATCGGCCGACTTGATTTCTGAATCGGCTGTTTTGGTTTCTGAATCGGCTGTTTTGGTTTCTGAATCGGCCGACTTGATTTCTGAATCGGCTGTTTTGGTTTCTGAATCGGCTGTTTTGGTTTCTGAATCGGGACCCGCTTGGTTTCTGAATCGGCCCGCTTGGTTTCTGAATCGGCCCATTTGGTTTCCGAATCGGCCGACTTGGTTTCTGAACCGGCTCATTTGGTTCCTGAATCGGACCATTTGGTTTCTGAATCGGACTGTTTTGGTTTCTGAATCGTAGTTGCTGAATCGGCCATTTTGGTTTCTGAATCGTAGTTTCTGAGTCGGCTGTTTTGGTCTCTGAATCGGCTGTTTTGGTTTCTGAATCGGCCGACTTGATTTCTGAATCGGCTGTTTTGGTTTCTGAATTGAAGACGATTTCATTTCATTTGGTGTTGATTTCATTGCATTCGAGGGTTGGATGATGAAAGATTATTTTCAGAGAGTGTGTTTTTGTTTAAGGTTTGAGGTTGTTGGGGTGTTGGGGCTTTGACTGGGAGCGCCCTGCCATCCTCCTGGCTCAAACCAGTGGTTTGCTCAACACTTCGCGCCCACCACCTGCTCCCACCTCAGAGATTCTCAGTGTTTTTCCCTTGAAGCCAGTCAGAGATGCACGTTTGAGTCCTAAGCATCTGCCAAGCTAAGATATCTAGATGAGATCTTTTCAGATCAGAATCAAAACCCAAATTGAACTCCAGAGAGTTCAGCGCAGCTGCTGTTACAGCAGTCCAAAACCCAAAGGTCTTATACCAGCCTCACGCACGTGTTTGGTGCGAGAGACTGACCTGCAAAGTTCTCATTGAACATATACAGTGCTTTTCTTGGTGAGATTTCGTTTTCAACCTCCACAAACCCCAAGCGCCACATTCGCTTCAATGTGCGAGAAGCCATCAGGACCTCAGATTCTTCCAGCCTTATTATATCTTTCTAAGAAACATATGCATATCATATTCCACACTGAAACTATGAGACACATGATGATATTTTACTTGAAGGCCAAAGAACGGAATCAGGAAACGCTGATGCGATGTTTGAGCTCTTGAAATTGGCACCTAGAGGAGCCCACGTCATGGTCAGCCCCTTCTCTTTCCGCTTGATATCGAAGCCATATGAAGTGTCATCACCTGGGTAAATCTCTCCAATTCTATCATCTCTTGCGTTTGTTTTGCAGTTTGTTTTGTTCCTACTCTTTGTCACCACTGTTTGTAGTTCTCTTCCTCAATTTCTTGGTATGAGGAAACCCACTAAACACTCCAAATTAGGATTAGGCACCCTCTGCCATTGGACTCAATCGAACTACCTCATGCGAGTTGATGGTCGCATCCACAATACCTGCCTCTTCAAATTCAATGAGTAAGGAGCGAACAGTGCTCGGGGCACTGTCCTTCATGCTCTTGGAATTCTCAGCCTGAATCTCAAGAATGCACATCTCCTTGTCACTCTTAAGCTCGAAGACGCAAGAGTGGTCGAGGGCCAATCCTGCTTCAGACCACCAGCTAGCTATTTTAAAAAAAACATTCAGAGCTGTTGTAAAGTGGAGAGACGCGCAGAGACCAATGCCTTTCAGTCAAACTGTTTCCTGTTTTTTCTCGCTTCTCCCATTGTGCCCACCACCTTTCTAGTGATGTCTAAGCCAATTGGAAATCCAACTGGCAAATCATAAGATGGTTTGACGAAGTAATGACAAACATGGACGCTGAGTGCCTCCCCATCCATGAACAGAGGGCGTGCGCAACACATACTGAACCACACAGAGAACATAACAGAGAACATCATAGAATCCACTATACAATGAATCTATCAAGAGAACATCAAGAACATCAAGAACAATACACAGTAAATATGAGATGTTGCAGCCACACTGGACCAACCATCACACTCAGCGATCACTTCTGCGCAACTAACCTGCGTCTGGATTTCTCTGAATTTGACATTTTGTTCCAGGCATCCACTCGAATTGGGTGATTCTTCCACCTAGGTGTCAGGGAGGTGTTTTAAGGGTTTGTCACCATTTTGGTCGAACAAATAAAGCAAACCCATACTTTGAGCATAAATGCATGCACACCTGTTTGTGTATAAGGCCCAGACGATTCACGGGCCATGCGCAGAGCCTCACTTGCAGACTTCCCCTCCTTCTTCAAGCGGTCGGTCTCATCCCTAATGTGACGAGTCATTGCGTCTCGCAAGCTGTGGTCTCCAGCAGGAATGGAGCCCTGCCACAGAAACCAACAGTATGAGATAGCAGCAAGTTGAGCAAAACCAATGAGTGAATATAAAACAGAACTCAACAGATCCTAGCCTTTTCATTGATCTCAGGGCCGTTCTTGGGGTCATTGCCGTTTGATCCCTTCGACGTTGGTGCACGCTTCCCCGGCTTGCCCTTGGCGTTCTTCTTGCCCTTGGCGGTTTGGCCTTGAGTTGATTTGCTCTCCTTCGTCGCCGAGAGCTTTCTCTTAGGCCCCCTCTGAGAACCTGAACCCTCATCCTTCTTCTTTGGCTCTGTCTCATCCTGCTTGGAGCTCTTGGCTTTGGCCTTGGCCTTGGGAGCATTCCTCCTAGCTCTCTTTTGAGGTGACTGTCCAAGGGCCAAGGTCGGAGCTTCCAGGCTGTTTTCAGACAGTGCCTCTTCAGAATCTAGGATATCCTCATCATCCCCCAATTCTTCATAGATCTGGTCCACATCCTCTTGAATGTCTTCGGTCTTTGGGTCAGCAGGCTTGCGGCCTCTCCCTCGCCCTTTTCCTCGTCCACGACCAGGGCAGGCCTTTGGTTCTCCGGTTGCCCTTGTAGCTTGTAGCTGTTTTACAGCTTGACTTTGCATTCTTCCTGTCGTTCTTCATTCTGAGTTTGGCCTCCTGGATCTCTTTCTCCATGCATGTCCTCCCATCCTCCGTGAGAGCTGGATCACCATGCTTTTGATGGGACTGGCATGGAAGGTTCTGACTCTGTGTAACCACGGTAGCACTCGGTTTCACCTGTTCCATGTCAAGCCTTTTGGAAATGCCATCACCAGCAGCCTGACCACCACCTGGAGCAGCAAGCTGCTTGGTTGTGCTGGGAGTGTCCAACAGGACGGCGTTCTCTCTCACTGGTGGTGTTTGCAAGTTGCCTGGACTGTCCTGGACCATTCTCTCCATGTCCTCAGGGAATCCAGGTGTGTAGGCTGAAAGTGGTACCAGGTTCAAAATCACAACGCATACTGTACACCCACCATGTGTATTGATAATTAGGTATTCTCTTGTTGCCCATTAATGTGCCTATTTTAAGTTGAATCATGAGGATAGTTCTATG